ACATCTCCTACTGGGGATGTGCCCGCAACCCAGGTACATGCCCTTGACCGGAATCGAACCTGGGACCTTTCAGTCCGCAGGCTGACGCTCTATCCACTGAGCCAAACCGGTTTCGGCGGTAATTTCCTTTCAATTTCTTGCTATGCAACCAACTCACCTCCCATCCCAAAATTCTGTTTCTTTGTTACTAATATTGGGGCCTCATCCCATAACAAAGAAACAGAATTTCTGGAGGATGAGGCCCAGAAATCAGGATTTTCAAAAGATTCCCAGGTGATTCTAATGTGCAGCCAAAGTTGAGAAACCACTGATTTAGAGGATCTTAGAAAGGGTTTATTTTCCTCAAGAAGTTGCCTGCTGATGGTCTTAGTGGTTTAACAATATTAGGGCTGACACCTCTGATTTCCTTGAATTTTTACTCATGTTGCAAGGGGGCTGCTGCAGCTCCCAGTACTGCACTCACTTTAAGGTAGGAAGAGAAGTATAAGAATCGTTGCATCATCTGCAAACATCCCTTATCTAGAAAATAAAAACCTTTCCAGACCCCCTAGCTGACCTCTACTATGTTTCATAGCCAGAGCTGTGTCACATGGCCATACCTATTGCAAGGCTGGCCAGGAAGTATTTAGTATTTCCTGTCTCTGGCAAAGAGGAGGATTGGGAATAGGTGTTGGGTTAGGATCCAGCATTGTCTGCCACAGGGTCTTGTAGGAAAGGGCAAGAGAAAACTTGTAACTTCCTGACCGAAAAATGGATCATCCAGTAAACATGCATTTTTTTCATACATGTATACATTCATGCATAGGTACAATACGCCAATTGCACAGGTGTGGAAACTGAGGCAGAGGGTTGAGATTTGTGTCAGGAGCCTGAAATGAGCCTGGTGAGAGAGGGAAACAGCTTTTAATGCCAACTCTTGCTCAGGTGTGAGAAGTTCCACACATTTTCCCCTGAGTCCCAATTTTAGTTTTGGCTGTTAATTGTGCCTGGAAGGCATTAAAGAGGGCAGGGAAGCCTTCTCTGATCCCCAAGCAGGAGGGGTCTCTAGAGGAGGGGGCTGGGGCTTGGCTGGTGAAGGAAAGCAACCTGGCCTTCTCTCTTGTCCTGCCTTCCGCTTTCTCACCTGCCACTGCTGAGGCCCCTCTCAGGCCTTCTCTCCTGCTCCTGGGAGGAGTGTCTGCTGTTGTATGGCTCTCTGGACCTCTTGGTGGTCCTCGCCCTTCCCCACCCCCCAACTCCCAGCCCCCCAGATTTTTCTGACCCACCCTTTCTTATTCCAGGTCCCCCAAATCTACTGGGAGCTGTCCACCAAGCGGGTCCTTCTGATGGAGTTTTTAGATGGTGTGCAGGTCAACGACAAAGACTACATGGAGAGGAACAAGATTGATGTCAACGAGGTGAGGCTGAGCGCTCATGGCTTCTGCTCACACAGCTAGCAGAAGCAGAGTTGGGATTAGAACCCAGGTCTGCATGACTTCAGGTCCTTCCTTGCCTGTCTTCCTGTCTTCCTCCTAGGGATTTGCCTTGGACTGCCTTAGAATCCGGGCTACTTCGGTAACTCTCCGAGGCAGGAGTTGGAGCACTGATGAGAACTCTTCCTGCCCACGCACTATCTGATTGCAGCCCTTCTCTCTCTAGCTTACATCCAGGGTCATTTCATCCATTCCATATGGACACTGTTCCATCTGATAGAGATATGAGGGCTGAGTTAGTGCACAAGCCATGCTTAGCACAGCGCCTGGCCTGTGGTTAGTGTTCCAGATTGGGAGCTTGTTGATTATTGTTGTTTTCATTCTTAGTATCCTCCTTTACCATGAATGTTTACTGATGGCCTGGGCCCCTGTGCCAGGCCCTTTCTGCCCTGGAACCTTAGGAGGGAAGTCTTACTGTCTCTATTTTACAGATGAAAAATCAGACTTAGATCTAACTTATGTAAGGTTCCAGATCTTAATGGTACCACATAAACACTAGCCAGATAAAGATTCAAGTCATTTCTAACACCCCGGCAGGCTCCCTCATGCTCCTCCCAGTCCATACTGCCACCTGACTTCTGATACCAAAGACCAGTTTTGCTCACTACTGAACTTCATGTAAATGAAATCATACAGTCTAGGCTTTTGGGTCTGGCAAAAACTCTGTTCTCTTCCATTGGTCTTATGTACCTAAGGGTACATAAGGTCTATGTACCCTTACAATAATACCACTTAAAAATATTTTTATTGATTTCAGAGAGAAGTGAAAGGGTGAGAGAGATAGAAACATGGACAATGAGAGAATTGTCCATTGGCTGCCTCCTACAAGCCCCCTACTGCGGATTGAGCCTGCAGCCTGGGCATGTGCCCCAACTGGGATTGAACCATGACCTCCTAATTCATAGGTCAATGCTCAACCACTGAGCAACACTGGCTGGGTTACCATACTGTCTTAATTGCTTAGGCATTCCTAAGGAATCAATTACTTAATTCCTTAATCTCTTGCCCCAGAGATTTCTAGTGTTTCTATGACCCAGAAAGCTCTTTGGTGTTCTGAAATGATTCTGTATTCATTAAATACAGTGGGGCCTTGACTTACGAGTGTCCCAACTAATGAGTTTTTTGAGATACCAGCTGTCTCTTGGCCAATTTTTTGCATTGAGTTGATAGAGTAATTTGAGTTAACGAGCTCCTTAAGGAGCTTTGTCTCAGAACGAATTAAACTCGTAAGTCAAGGCCCCACTGTGGAATCTGTGCTACTTCACAGAAACCATAGGCTGGACAGGGGACTCTGGGCCATGGGCTCCACTGTGTTGTGGCAGACCAATGGTGATGTTGGGAGTAGACCAGCAATAGGTTCTACTTTGTAGAAATCAATCTATTATGTCTCTTATCAGCTAATATAAAGGCCACAGGTCTCATGGAAGACTGGTGGTATGTGTGTGTGTGTATGTGTGTGTGTATGTATGTGTATATGTAAGTGCACACACACACAGCGTATGAAACACCCCGCATTATTGAAAGTTTCTCACAGGTTTCTGATGTTCTAGGATTGTGAGACTCAGGGAGCCCATCCCTGGAGTGACTCTTGCTCCTGAGGACGGCCTGGCTGTGTGTATTCCTTGGGGAGGGAAATACAAGGGACAGATAGGGGTGACAAGGGCCAAATCCTGGGGTGTAGGTGGTTATTGGCATCTTGGCTGCTATAAGCTGGTGACTCAGCCAGAAGGTGGGGCTCAGTAGGGGTTGGATTTAAAAGGAATCTCGAATTGGGTGGGGGTGGCTCCAGACCCCTCCAACCACTTGTGGAGTCATCCCACTGCACTTTGAAGAGGCCCTCTCACCCTGCAACATCCCAGCCCCACTGGGCCTAGCATGTGAGGACCTCAAGACCAGCCTAAGTAACCATTTGCAATAGACTCGGGTAGGGAAACACCAGGTTAGGAAGCAAGAGACTTGGATTCAAGCTCCAGTTCTGCCAGTGGCTCACTGTGTGACCTTGGACAAATCACTCTCCTTCTCTGGACCTCAATTTTCTTACTGAAGGTTTTGGATTGCCTGGACTTTAAGGGTATGTCCTGCTTGGATATTTTAGAGAGCAATGATTCTCAGCTTGCTGGGAGCTAGGACTTGAGCCAGCTATTTCAGAATCACTGGGGAGCTTATTTAACAATGCAGATTCCTGAGGCCCATCCCAGATTTACTAATCAGAATCTGGGAGGGGGAAAGGATTATAGAATATGCATTTTTAACAAACTCTCTAGGTGGGTCCTGATACTCATTGAAGTTCAAAAACCACCTTCCCTGAGACTGGACAAAAATTGTACACCTATGGATGAGGACAGTGGGGGGCGGGGGTAAGGGCAGAGGGTGGGGTGGGAACCGGGTGGAGGGGAGCTATTGGGGGAAAAAAGAGAAACTGTAATGATCTGAACAATAAACATTTAATTAAAAAAAAAGAAATAAAAACAAAACAAAACAAAAAGCCCCCCCCCCCCAAAAAAAACAACCCCCCCAAACTACCTTGCCCAGGCCCAGAAGACCTGGGCACCTAGGTTTATTTGCACCTCTGGGAACAAGGCAGCCCTGCACAGCTGTTCTCATCTGCCAGGGAGCGTGGGGCTGTGAGGAACCAGCAGCCTGCAGGTGCCCTTGTTTGCTTGTATCTCTGAACCTAGCAGCAGATATTACCGAGGGCCTGACCCATGATCATATTTGCCAGTCATTTTAAGAGCTGGTGACAGTGACTGCCATTGATTTCATTAAAAGTAAAGGTCGTGCGGGAGCACGTTCCCAGGCTGGATGGAGCCTCCTCAAGCCACAGGACGACTATTGATTGCAGGACCTTTATCGAGGGTTAATTGGATTTCAGTGAGTATGTATTTAAGACCCAGCTTGGGCTGAGGCCCAATTGAATTTGCGTGAAATCAGCCGAGAGAAAGGTGACAGAGTCTCGAGCATGGGGTTGGCAGAAGGGGGACTGGAGGCCTGGTGGGCAGACATCTGCAGTCTGGGGAAAAAAGGGGTGGGTGTAGCGATGCGGGGCTCACAGAGAGAGACTCCAGCGTCTCTGTTCTGGAGGCCTGGGGGCCAGCAGAGGGAAGAGGGCTGGGACACCCCGTGGTCATCATGTGGACTTGGATTCAGTCCTCTGTCCTCGGATGGCTCTCCTGGTGTGTGGTGTGGCCTCCAGAGCCTGTGGTTTTTCCCTCCTGTCAGGGTCAGGAGGGGAGCTGGGGGTTAGCTCTTACTTTGAAAGTCTCCTCACTAACTCTCCTTCTTTTTAGGCCCTCACCTCCTGTTTTTAGAGGTTCCAGGTGCCCTCAGTTGCAGCCTGTTTGGTCAGAGTTCCTCATCTATATAGTTGGAGTGGCAACAATATGTACTTCACATGCCATTGTGCAGGCTTTGCAAGCTGTGAAGTTCTATAAAAAATCATTTATAATTCATGGGGTTATTCTTCACAGGGGCATATCTCTCTCCATAGAATTGTTGAGAATCTTCTTTGCTTCCCTCCTGTCCACCTACTCCTGTTGTCTGTGAGTGATGGTCATTGATTGAGTATGGTGACCCCCTCCCCATTTCCTTAGAGTTTCCCCTTGTCCCCCCATGCCACTAACGACTGAATGAGACATTTATGTTTTGCTCGCCATCGCCCACTGACTGGGCCTCTTTGGCCCTGTGGTGAGAGGTGCCTAGGAGACCAGGGAGGAGAAGCTGCAGAGACATGCAGACCCTAGTGACCAAAATCACTAGAGAGAAGACACATCCCATCATCCTCCCCTCCGAAACTTCTTGGACCAAATCTTGAGAGGCCCAGGGATGTTGGAGGGTTCCAGGGCACAGATGAGTTCCTGGAGATCCATTTCCCCAGTGGCAGGGGTGGCAGGAGTGGGGACAGTGCCACTCTGGACTTGACCTTCCTGGATTTGGTGCTGCCTCTGCCACTTGCCAGCCATGCCTCCTTGGTGGAACTGGTCACCCTTTGGAAGCCCCAGCTTTTTGTGAAGTGGGGTACACAAGCAACCTGGGGGACTGTTTGATGATCGACACACCAAGCAATGGCAGAATGCCAACAGTCCCTGCTTGCTAGGTCATTATCCTGGAATTCCGGCCCTCTACCCACTCTGTGGGAAGCAGGTAAGGGAGAAACCTTTCTCTGTGTTTCATATTGGCCCAGGGAAGGTGCAAGAGGTGGAAATATTTCTTTGGAGTGAATTGTTGCCCGAGGCGAGGAATGTCAGATGTCTACAGCTCTTGCTCCCTCCACCGTGTCTTCCAGTAGTTATGGCCCCGAGTCCCTCCAGTAGCCATGGTCCTTTAAGTCTCTCAGGCGGTCACTGTTCAAGCCTAATCTAGAGAGACTTTCACTGAGCTTCCAGAAGCTCCAAAATTAGAATAATCCTTCCAGTTTCCTGTAATTAGCTCAGCACCTCTCCTTCCTTCCAATACCACGTGTGGTTGAAGAGGTTCCCAGTGCCTTTACATTCAGGGATTTCACTCCGAGTTTGCTAGCCCAAGATTGACCCACTCCATGAATAGATGTGGCCTTGTGCTGGGCAGCAGTGAGTAATTGGAGGTTTAAATGTCTCAGGGGTGGTTCTTGGGGGAAAGGTGGGTGTGGAGGGAGGAAAATGCTTTAGGCTGTGGTCTGGTCTTTCAGGCTATTCTGCCTGAAGAAGCCTTGGCAGAAGCTGGAGGATAGGCAAAGAGAGTCTGAATTATTAACCTCCTTGTACTTAATATCGGGCGACTTGTGTGATTATTAATACCTTGTAACACAAGCCTCCTGTTTCTTTCAGAGAGCTTGGCCTTGCTTCCATGACACCCCCCAAAACATAAATAGACTTTCCCTTGGGGGTGGGAATAAATTAATCCATGCAATTATAGAATAATTAAAGTACTTTCAGCCAATTCAAGTTTTA